GGCAGCAGAGATGGAGGATCAAGGCTGAAAGATGTCACATCTGGGCATTATTATAACCTCACAGATTGAGGGCACAATTGCCCTTGCCTTGCAGTAGGTAGAGGATGATCAATACTCCCCATCCCCTTTGATGAGGGATAAAGGATTTTTTTTATTATTTATGCTGTGTTAACAGTAAGTCAGCATTTACATTTTTACAGATGCTACCTCACCCCTGAATGAGTGGGGGGGAGCAGCAGATGGCACTGTGAAGTTATTGGAAGGTTCATTTTTGCACATTAATTTTAAACCTGTTTTACAAGCTCTGATATCATTACTATTAGACACTACATGGTAATGCTTTAAAAGATAACTGCAGCCACTAAGTGTAAATGTTTCTGAGCAATCATTACTTTTTACTAATAAGAGCTAAATCATGAAAAAAACCAGCAAAATGGCTGTTACTTATGTCTTTTTTTATATACGGTAATCTTATTGATATTCAGGAAATTTGATATTTAACTTTTATATAGCTTGAACTATTAAGGAAGAAATCCAGGCATATTTGGAATTACATAAATATCATTTTAGTTGTAGATTTTATCTTAGAGAATCAGATGGTTCATATGTAATGCTTTGATCTAGCTTAGCACACAGAGCATGCTGTCATAAAATGCAGATTATGTGCATTTCAATGGTTTCATCTGTTTACACATTCCTTCGTGGCATTTATCACTTGTAGATGCATATATTAATATATTCATAAGTACGCAGAAGTATTTTTTCAGACAGAAATCTCACAACACAGATCTGTTGTACTCTATCATTCTCTACAGTTTTCTAGTATCAATTTAGTAAAAACAAACGTGTTCCTTAATAGGAAATGTTTTATGTGTTTCCCTTGAATAAAGTGCACTTGAACTGAAAAAGTGAAGATTTGCTGTTTTATAGGGAAAATAACAAACATGCTTGAATTCTGCATTAAAAATATCAGTGCATTTCCTTGTATGTGTATATCTGCAGTGTGAGATCTAAGGTACTGCGCCTATGACTGCTAGTTTCTGGAGATTTGGAATGAGAATTGGTGATGTCTCTATTGTTGTAGGCAGGTGCCTACTATCAGTGTTAGTTATGCAGCTTCCTTCCTTAGGTGGGAAAGAGTAACACGGGTTTGCTGTGTTCCCGGGCTTTTTCTAGGTCCTGCCATTTTTCTTATGGTACATATAAAAAGGGGGAAGGCTGGGTCCGGGAGAGTCCAAAGTCAGGAGGACTGCATGGGAAAAGGCTTATGGGGAAATTCTGAGGACCCTCTGCACACTGGTATATACCCTTTCAAGCAGACTATGCAATAAATATTATTATTATTATACAGTATTTATAAAGCGCCAATAGTTCACTCAGCGCTGTACATTACAAAGGGGGACAGAACATGTGACAGAATAATACCAATACAATACAATGCAAAACATGAGGGGATCGAGGGCCCTGCTCTTTCGAGCTTACAATCTAGAAGGGACGGGATAGTGGTACAGGAGGAGATAGCTGTGGGGGATGGAGTGGTAGGAAGAGTGGAGGAGGTCGGCAAGTTAGCAGGGGGTGAGGTAGGCTTCCCTGAAGAGATGGGTTTTCAGGGTACGCCTAAATTAGAGGAGAGTAGGTGATAATCTGATGGGTTGGGGAAGGGAGTTCCAGAGGATGGGTGACACCCTGGAGAAGTCCTGGAGGCGGGCATGGGAGGAGGAGACCAGGGAACTAGAGAGAAGGAGGTCTTGTGAGGAGCGGAGTGTGCGTGTTGGGCGGTACTTGGATATCAGGTCAGTGATGTAGTTCGGGGCAGTATGGTGGACAGCTTTGTACGTCAGTGTTAGGATTTTAAATTTGATCCGTTGCGCAATCGGAAGCCAGTGGAGGGATTGGCAGAGGGGGGTGGCAGAAATGGAGCGGTTGGAAAGGTGAATGAGTCTGGCAGCCGTATTCAGGATCGACTGAAGCGGGGATAGCCAGCGGCGAGGCAGGCCAGTGAGGAGGGAGTTGCAGTAGTCGAGTCGTGATATGATGAGGGAGTGGATGAGCTGTTTAGTGGTTTCTGGGGTTAGGAACGTGCGGATTTTGGCGATGTTGCGGAGGTGGAGTCTGCATGAGTTTGTTAAAGATTGGACTTGGGGCTGGAAGGATAGGTTGGAGTCCAGAATGACACCAAGTACTCTGGCCTGCAGAGCGGGTTTGATGGTGGCGTTGTTGGATGTGATGTAGAAGTCAATGGGGGGTGGGGTTCGGGCTGGGGGGAAGACAAGGAGCTCGGTTTTGGAGAGATTCAGTTTAAGGAAGTGGAGCGACATCCAATCTGATAGGGATATTTTGTTCACACATATTGCAATACATGCTTAAGCTGGCCAACTGCGTCAAAGTAATCCCTCTATGGCCAGTCCTACTCTGCTCTGCCTACGCAAATGCTACTGTGGACACAATGCTAGCATAGGGGAAAAGACACAAGGCTTATGGGGAGGTGCAGTGTGGTGAGGGCAGTAAATAGAAGGAGTCCGGTCGCAGTAAACTTGGAACTTGTATTGATCAGAATGCCAATGTTACAAACACCCTAGTTGGAGAGCGCCACTAGGGGAATAACTCACTGTTCATTGCAGTTAGATGTGGCTGAGAAGAGGTGCCGACAGTGTCTGTTTCAGAGGAAGAAGCGCGGCCTGGCCATTCCGCTAGCAAAAGGGGAGACTTTATTCTGGTTAGCAAGTCCCTAGCCTTTCCCTCCTTGTCAAGAACCTTTCCCTACCACTAGTCACTCACCCTAGCAAGTGGGTTCTCTTCCTACACTAGCCACTCATAGAATGCATGCCAAAGCCCAGGAGTAGGGGGTTTAAATAGGCCTTGCTGACCCAAGATGGCCACCAAGGGTCACAAGTCTGCAGCATAGCCAACCGAAACGCTGCTCCATTGATGCCGGCACCGTAGATAGATCATGTTTCCCTTGGACTTCCTCTCCAGACTATTGTACCATTTAGGTGAAGCGCAACCTCCTGTGGAGAAAACAGACTGCACCTGCCTATAGGCTAAAGGGTCCACATGGAAGGATGTAACCAGCAGCAACCTGCCAGCACCTACACGAGGAAACCTACCAGCAGTGGACTTCTACCTGTTGAGGTATGCCTGGGAAGCCTAGGGATGCTAATTAGGAAATTGTGCACTGTTGGACTGTGTTAATGCAAAAGCCATCAGCAAAGTTATGTTAACTACTTCTGAGCCTGGTTTGAAGTTATTCAGAAGGGTGCATGAAGGTAAACAACAACGTATCACAAGTACTGGGCCTGTAAAGAACACATGGAGTAGAAGAGGAAGGCCACAACCAAGGGTTAACTTGGCAGGGGAGTCACAGGAGGAGAGTAGTTGCCACAGGTAACCATGAGCTGGAGACAATGAAAAGAAGCCAGACGTCAAAGAGTGATACAAGACTCGGGTGACAGATATTCTACCTCCCTCCCTAGCGGTCAGTTTCCCAGAAAATTACTGGGATCAAACCCACAGAAGGTGTAAATTACGTGCACGCATGAGGCCCACGCTAGTGCATGGCAAAATCACCTTCTGTCACTAGGAGTGAGGTGGCAGAGGTATCCTGGCCTGGTGGTGCAGGGCATAGGCCCAGCAGCCCCTAAATGCAATATTCATCGAGTAAAGGCATGTAGTGACATAGGACTGAGCGTTTCACACAGGAACTCTGTACATTCACCACTACACATAGTGTACAGCTCATCTCTAAGTCGTGGTTCAGCCTTAATGTTGACTGTCACATGAACCATTTTGTAATTTAGTGTTATTGAAAGCTAACTTTCCATTTAATCGGTAGCTACTGTCATTTTCTACAACTTAAAGAAATGCAATATGGCAACCTGGAGGTATTCTGTACACCGTTGGCACTGTCACTTCTACAATAAAGTGCCCCTACCTTCTTCCTCGCTGCCTTCTCTGGCACTGTAAACTGAGCTGCGCATGCACAGTGTCAGTGACAGTGTCGGGCCAGTCTCTGAGTGTTGGGATTACTAGCTCATATGCATAAGCATGTGTGATGTCATCCGCTGTCGGCAAATGAAGAGGCCCAAAGACCAGCACTCAGAAGATGTCAGTACCGGCAAGGGACCATTGGACAGGTAAGTGTTTGTCTTCTGCTTTAAGTTATCAAGCCACATACATCCATGCAACTACCATTTTCATAAGGAAGTCTACAAAAGCAACCACTCAGGCAACTTCCAGCAAGTGATTAATATCTCAGTAGCAAGAGATTAAAAATCACTTGTGTTGGTTTGCCTAAGGCTATGGTTACACTGACTATTAAATCTATTTGCAGTTGGGAAATTTAACTACTGTTTAACAGTCATCTCATTAGAATCACATTGATTCCAACATGCTGCACGTGAGATGACTGCAAATGATTCTCAGTAACATGTAGCCCACTCTCCAGGTTTTCTTATATTTAGCCTATTTTTCTACCAGTGTAGTTACTCATTAACTCAATTACCTATACCTGACTGTAATAAGTTCTTAACGGGACAGCTTGTTTTGGTTTTGTATTGGGTTAGCCATCATAGCGTGACTGCATGGGTGAAACTCACCCTTGTAGCTAATGCCCAGTACACATGATGAGAAAATCCGATGAAAATAACCACTTTCAGAGCAAATTGTTCGATAATTTAATTGTTGGTACACAGCTTCCGACATCTGATCATGACAGTTAAGTCAAAAGTTTCTGAAAGAACATGAGATGATTTTGTTTGATAACAGAACAAACCATTTTCGTGTGATTAGTATAGTATTCATACGAAAATAGTCAAGTAGTCAAGGGACCAAGACTGCACAGGATCGGTAATAAAAGAATGAGTTGAGAAAAGGGGCAATGAAAATAAATATCGTGTAACACGAAAAATATTCTGTAATACAAAAAGGGTCTTTTTATGATATTTTGAACAGCCAAAATTCATTAAAAAATCAAATTAAAAATAATTAAAACAAAATATTACCTTTTCTTTCAAAACTCTCCTCTCTGACAAAACACACAAGTGCTAGAAATTTTGTGACTTCCTTTAGATACAAAACAGTTGTGTTGTTTAGCTTTATGATCGCCAGTGACTCTTTGTCATAAGGGGTGCCTGCTCCTTTCAACCTGTTATAAAAAAATTAGAAGTACCATTAAAGAATAGCTTAAAATTCAAACCGCTCTAACATACAGCTTACAGGAAAATGTTAACTAAGAAAACTTTTTTTTTACCCAAATTAAAATATTACTTTTCCATTGTCTATAATGTCATTTTTTAATACAGTATATTTGTCATATTTTGATTCATCAATATACTGTTCTCTACTAGTAAATCTACATTACAAGTGAAATCTACATTTCAGTGCCATACCCATAGATGCAAGAAATGTCAATAACAACGTCAATCATGTCACAGCACAGCTCATATGTTTGCATGTCCACTGGAGTGCTGTCTGTTGCTATGTAGATTTTACTGACTACATCAAAAAGGAATGCTTTCTCTATCCCCGAATTCTGCAATGAAGAATGACACAGAGATTGTCATCAGCAATACATATATTCAAATTAGAACCAATACTGATGTACAATGCATTATACAGATACATTATACATTTCCTGCTAACTGGTTGATATGGCTGGTCAGTAGAGTTCATTCTCAATTTCACAAGTAGTTAAATAACAAAAGACAAAATCTGAATAATGATTATTCTTGGTGGTTCAGAATTCCCAAAATCTTCTGCTTCAAAGGCTGTTGCATATATGTATATAGTGCCTTGAAAAAGAATTATAAAAAATCTCCTACAATAAAATTAGATTACTAAACTTACAGTGCCTTGAAAATGTATTAACACCCCTTGAAGCCAAAATACTAAAAGGTATAATTAGAAATGAGCTAACCTGAAACATTTGATCAGTAATGATTTAGCCCAAACTTTCTTTTAAAACGTGCACTACAATTTTGAAAGTGGAAGTCTCATTGAAATCAGTAAAAATCTGAACCTGGCTTCAATAAAAGTATGAATTACATAGCAGCAAATGATGTACATATGTGCAGAATGGTGTGGGAAGCTCCTGGGAGCCCTGCCTGATGAGATGATGGAGCCAAAACCAGCCTGAGCCAGTTACTTTAAAAAAATCTACCACAAATAATAAGATGAAAGTGTGGGAACCGATGGAACTGGCAGTCAGTCAAAGATGCCCTGGCAACAGCAGGACAATACAGTATACAGTGCCTTGAATAAGTATTCATACCCCTGTAAATTTCCACAATTTGTCATGTTACAGCCAAAAACATAAATGTATTTTATTGGGATTTTGTGATCGACCAACACAAATTGGCACATAATTGTGAAGTGGAAGGAAAATGATAAATGGTTTTCAAAATATTTTACAAATAAATATCTGAAAAGTATGGCGTGCATTTGTTGTATTCAGCTCACCTGAATCAATACTTTGTAGAACCACCTTTCGCTGCAATTACAGCTGCAAGTCTTTTTGGGGATGTCTCTACCAGCTTTGCACATCTAGAGAGTGAAAGTTTTGCCCGTTCTTCTTTACAAAATAGTTCAAGCTCTGTCAGTGTGGATGGAGAGCGTCTGTGAACAGAAATTTCCAAGTCTTGCCAGATTCTCAATTGGATTTAGGTCTGGACTTTGACTGGCCCATTCTAACACATGAATATGCTTTGATCTAAACTATTCCATTGTAGCTCTGGCTGTATATACGTTTAGGGCCGTTGTCCTGGTGGAAGGTAAACCTCTGCCCCAATCTCAAGTCTTTTGCAGACTCTAACAGGATTTCTTCTAAGATTGCCTTGTATTTGGCTCTATACATTTTCCCATCAACTCAGACCAGCTTCCCTGTCCCTGCTGAAGAAAATCTTCCCCACAACACGATGCTGCTACCACCATGTTTCATGGCGGGGATGATGGTGTGTTCAGGGTGATGTGCAGTGTTAGTTTTCCACCACACATAGCGTTTTGCTTTTAGGCCAAAAAGCTCCATTTTGGTCTCATCTGACCAGAGCACCTTCCTCCACACATTTGTTGTGTTTCCCACGTGGCTTCTTGCAAACTGCAAATGGGACTGCTTATGGCTTTCTATCAACAATGGATTTCTTCTTGCCACTCTTCTATAAAAGCCAGATTTGTGGAGTGCACGACTAATAGTTGTCCTGTGGACAGATTCTACCACCTGAGCTGTGGATCTCTGCAGCTCCTCCAGAGTTACAATGGGCCTCTTGGCTGCTTCAATGAATAATGCTCTCCTTGCCCAGCCTGTCAGTTTAGGTGGACAGCCATGTCTTGGTAGGTTTGTAGTTGTGCCATACTCTTTCCATTTTCGGATGATGAATTGAACAGTGTTCCATGAGATGTACAAAACTTGGGATATTTTTTATAACCTAACTCTGCTTTAAAGTTATCCACAACTTTATCCCTGACCTGTCTGGTGTGTTCCTTGGCTTTCATGATGCTGTTTGTTAACTAATGTTCTCTAAAAAACCTTTGAGGGCTTCACAGAACAGTTTTATTTATACTGAGATTTAAATTACACATTACACACATTAGCTGAACTATATTTACTAATTAGGTGACTTCTGAAGGCAATTGGTTCCAGTTTTCAGAAATGTATTTGTAAAAAATTTTTGAAAAACCATTTATCATTTTCCTTTCACTTCACAATTATGTACCACTTTGTGTTGGTCTATCACATAAAATCCAAATAAAATACATTTATGTTTTTGGTTGTAACATTAGTATTATTATTATACAGGATTTATATAGCGGCAACAGTTTGCTCAGCGCTTTACAATATAAAGGGAGACAATACAGCAACAATACAGTTCAATACAAGAGGGATAGGAGGGCCCTGCTCCTTGGAGCTTACAATCTAAGAGAACATGACAAGATTTGGAAAATTTCAAGAGGTATACTTTTTCAAGGCACTGTGAATTTAGTAATCTCACTTTATTTTGGGAGATTATTTATAATGCAGTTCAGAGCACATCAGGCCATTAGGTATCATTATAATGCACATTTTTGACCAACTGGATTGGGTCATATTTGCTCCTATTCACTGCACATCTGGATTTTCTCTTCTTTGATGGGAAATCTAAGCTTCAGTAACATTCATCATATCTATAACAGGGCATGTTACAGACCCAGGCCTAGTTCTCTGTTTCATATTTGCTACTTTGAGAGTTTGATTCATTGTTTTTATGACTGATTCACCCATACTTGTTCCACACGTTTTATAGATTGTGAGATTTTTGAAGTGGAACTATGAGCAAAATCAAATGTTACATATTTCATGCAGTGCATCAATTGTAATAAAACAGCAGTTTTTGTTTCTCTGACACCTCCCATAATATAGTCTGAATACCTCTTGATATGACCAAAAGATCCATTATTTTTTCACTACCAATAAAAGGCCAAGCTGTTCAGCACAAGTGGTAACTACAGTTAAAACGAATCAGAAAACGCTGCAAGGTGTGTTTACAACGATCAGTTTTTTCATATGGTTTAAAAATCCCCCCCCCTACAAAAACAAATACTTTTTAAGTATTATCTGTTGGTTTTATTTAGTTTGTCTCCTAAAGTGACGCTAAACGCTGGTGTAAAAAATTTCAAGTAGGTATTCATAATTTTTAATTTATTATTCATAATTTATAAAAGGTACCTTCTAGTGCTCTCAACCTCCTCCAAACCTCCAAATTCCTATGACGGTGGCTACATTCATTCTTCACAGTCACACTGTATGCAGGAACATAGCCAGCTTCTTGCTTGCTCCTAAGATGGACTATGTGTTGTATATCTGCCTTGGGCAGTGCACAATCCTCAACTAACATGCCCTGCTCATTCCAAAAGAGGAAGTGAGGGGAAAAGGAGAGGTTTGAGAAGCAGAAAATCACAGTAAGAAACGATTTCATGAAAAATAAATTACAGGGCCAGTAAAAGAGAAGTATGACCAAAGCTTTTTCTGGGTCAGAGGAGTACACTTAAAGCCCATTGTTGGCTGATGTCACAGAGTCAGTTCTAGCTCTGAAAGGATCCTTTAAATATTGTCGGGATTCACCCAGATGCCTGACCAGCAGCTGGCTCAGTTCTGGCCTAAGCCAACCACTCCTGCCCCCTTTACAGTCCAGAGCTCCAGTGAGGGCTTGAGGGGCAGAGTATAGAGCAGTGACTGACAGTCACTACTCTCTGCTCAGTGAAGACCGAAAACGGAGTGATCATTGGTCATGTGGTCACTCAGTTCTCAGTCTTAGAGACAGCAGCAACAGCAGCAGATTGTTGCTGTAGTTATATATAGGCGAGTATAGGTGGTTATTTTTTTTTTCAGCTATCCTGCACCTTACCTTTAAGAATTGGATGTATATTGATCATTTTATGAGAATAAAGATATCATTTAGTGTCACTTTAAAGTTCATTTAAAAATTCATGACCATGTAAGGATACTCTGTCCAGAGGATGACAATGCTGCTGTGTGATTTCATGCCAGAATAAACAGGGTGTCACCCTGTCAGGCTGATGTCTCTGTTAGGCTGGATACTGGTGACAAATCACTAAGAGACTGCCTCCAGTCTCTATGGAAATGCTCCCCCACTAGCTAGTCCTACTGCAAGGCAAGATGTGGCCACTTTTAGTGCAAGTGTAAGAGCGATTCCACAGCAGTAAATGGAAGGCTTTTCTATGTGATGCAGCTGCTGGTGATGTGTTGCTAACACCAGAATTGTCCATGTGAAATCAGCCTTTTAAAAGAAGTGTAAAAAAACATCTACTGGCACCATCACCAGGTAATAAAACTATGTTAGGGGCTAATTAGAAAAAACTACTGCTGTGTACATTCTAGTGCATCAGATATCATTTTTGTTCCAGTTTAATTCTAAAACCCTTATTTGCATTTGTTGCCATTTACTCCCTACTCCTGCCAAGAATTTGCATGTCTTCCAAGGGCAGACAAATCTAAGCAGGCTGTCTGTACTTCTACTTATCTGTATTTTTAAAAAATATACCCACTGTACAGATTTCTGCAAACTATATCTGCAATGTTTCATGGCGGGGATGGTGTGTTCAGGGTGATGTGCAGTGTTAGTTTTCCACCACACATAGCGTTTTGCTTTTAGGCCAAAAAGCTCCATTTTGGTCTCATCTGACCAGAGCACCTTCCTCCACACATTTGTTGTGTTTCCCACGTGGCTTCTTGCAAACTGCAAATGGGACTGCTTATGGCTTTCTATCAACAATGGATTTCTTCTTGCCACTCTTCTATAAAAGCCAGATTTGTGGAGTGCACGACTAATAGTTGTCCTGTGGACAGATTCTACCACCTGAGCTGTGGATCTCTGCAGCTCCTCCAGAGTTACAATGGGCCTCTTGGCTGCTTCAATGAATAATGCTCTCCTTGCCCAGCCTGTCAGTTTAGGTGGACAGCCATGTCTTGGTAGGTTTGTAGTTGTGCCATACTCTTTCCATTTTCGGATGATGAATTGAACAGTGTTCCATGAGATGTAC